CTCGATATGAGTAGGGGTTTTCATCAAAAATCTTGATGTTATTATAAGTACATTACATGCACATGGTTGGAAAGAATTCAACAAGACAAAGAAATTAAAAAAAAAAATATTCAGATATCTTTATATTGGTTCCAAAGTTATGGTTGATTGAATGTTGCAAAATTCAACAAAAACAATGAACATTGTTCATTATTAATACTAATCAAGGAATGGCACCGAAATGTTCCATTTATGAAGAAAAAAATGTAATTTTCACGCATGGACTGCTTAATACTAAATAAAACCCTTTAAAACCATACATTTCCGGATTCGTGAGAACAAGGAGCTTCATAATAGATTATTTTCCAGCTGTTACATAATCTTACATAACAGAAAAATCCAATATGGCCGACAAAATGGCGTGTGCCACAAGCAATACGTTTGGGAAAATTTCATTTTGAAAGGGTTCTGTAACAGATAGCTATAGAAAAGTATATATTTTCTTAATCAGCAAGAAAAGCTGCATTTAATGGCATCAAAACAAAGCAAAAAATGTGCATTTACAAAAAAATATTGGAACATAATACATGGAGGAAAGTGCCAATAAATTGTGTCAGATTTGACGCAGGCGAAAACAATATAATAATAAATTACATTTATTAAGCGTTCAACCGTGATTAAAACACACAGTCTCTGAGCACTTTACAATACAGTACAATGTACAACAGTATCATATTATAATATATTGTCCAATGTTCTCTTGATCAGGGACACTCCTCGCCCCCAAAAAAGGCAAAGACAATGAATATTTAAATAACAAATGAGTCTATAAATTTACTATAAGATTACCGTTTTTGAGTTCAGTGAACACTTTTATCTTTTTTAAAATGCTGTTGCCATCACTCTCGCTAAGGTCAAAAGCTGTGGATTCTCCTACAACTATATGACCAGAATTAGTAAAATTAGAAACCTTGTAGGTCTTCCACACAAAGACGTTACTTTCTTTCAATCGGTAGGATACAAGGCTTCCTATTATTTTTTTTTTACCATTTAAATATTCTGGCAATACATTTTCTGACTGATATTTTGAAATCCTTTTTTTGCGAGCATCTTCAAGTTCCTGATTTAGAAGAGACTTTTGTCTTTCGACAAGAATTTTCCGTACTTCCAAATTTTAATACCTAACATTTTCATCTTCTTCCTGCGTAGTATCTTTCACACTGTTGAAATTTATGATATTATTTAAATGCTCTTCCAAAACAGAAGATTTAAAAACTTTCCCCCCAGAAGATTCTTGAAACCAAAGCTTCTCACCACCTGCAGAGATCACCTGTTTATAACATATTTAATCTGAGACATCAAGGCTTCTTTTTTCATTTTCTCCGTTGACATTTCTGAAAGTATTTATGAAATCTGAGACTTCTCCCACAGCCCCCCAAACTTTTCTAAATTCCGAGTTGCTACTCTACTAGCTTTGATTGCACAAGTTTCTCTTCTTTATTTTTAACCTCTGCCTGTTTAGACTTAAGCTTTTTCTCCAACTGCATTTTTAGGTTGTCTTTCCAGGTCTTCATCGTTCGTCTTAAATTCGGTGCCAATTTTTGTGCACTTTTAAATAAACTTTCTTTCTCTGCAGGTGGGAGTGTATTGATCCATTTGCTTGGCTTATTACTCTGCCACATAACAATGGCTTCAATAGTTGACGGTAAGGCTGATGGTTTTATTCGAAGCAAATTGTCCAGCTTGGCCATATCTCGTTCACTAATCATGTTAGTGGCAGGTACATTCAGGGGGGGATTGGAAGAGACAGTTGTGGGGTTGAAAAAACTAGGAGGATTTTCACACACAGTTATAGGGTTGGAAAAACTAGGATTGTCACACACAGATGTAGGATTGGAAAAACTAGGAGGATTTTCACACACAATTGTAGGGTTGGAAAAACAAGGAGGATTTTCACTCACAGTTGTAGGGTTGGAAAAGCTAGGAGTAGTATAATTTGAAAGCACATGTTGGGGGGTAGCACTGCAAGTAGAAGCGTCCTGCATTTGCAGATGGTCCACTGCTTGCCGTTCAAGAATGACTAGCATACTAGCTGTAATGACCTCAAGGGCCAAACTAGTTAAAGAATTAAACTCACTGTCTTGAACATCGAAAAGTGAATTAAAAACTTCATCACTAATAGATCTACAGCCAGACAAAACTTCTTCGCCTTTTAAAGCCTCAGACCCATCTGTCACCCACAGTTTGAAAATTTCATGGATTTTTTGGATAGTGGATCTGGCTTGAAATAAAGAAATATCAGAATTCAATATGGCTTGTAATGGTTCAGTAACCAGCTTGCCAATTATGCCAAGAGCTCTGGTTACTGAAAGATACACATCCTCCTTAATGTCAAAGTAAACGCTTTCTAGGAGATGATTCCTATTTGGCCACTCTGAAAGAAAATCAGTAATATTCCATTCTGTGATAAAAGGTAGCTGCTGCATCTGTGAATAGGATGTTGAACCTGTGACCCAAAAATGTCTTGATCCGATTTTTTCTGCCCCTGCTCCGCAAGAAGGTGTCAAAGTAGCTGTTGACTCCTGCAGAAAAGAACCAAAATGTTTTTTGAGCTACAATGAAAGTGAGATAAAATACATAACAGTTCACTCATTTGCACATAATATAGAAAAGGAAACATGTAGGCCTACTTTCTTAAGTTGTCCATTTGCACAACAACCAGCAACTTAAGATCTACCTGGTATTCATTGTTTACTACCTTCAACATATTAGCAATAATATTACTCTTTGTCACTGCCATTAAATGGAAAAAAAATATTATAATACATTTGTGTGTGTATGTGAAAGAAAGAATAATACTAAAAATTTTAGTTTTAAAAATTGCCCCAAATACAGTATAACACACATAGTTCGAATTCGTCAGAACCGGCCTCTGTAGTTTGAGGGATCCGTACATCGAGAGATATCTTACAAAGATAAAAAAGGGGGAAAAAATGGGACGTAGGCACAGTTCAACGGATGCATGATTTCGAGTCTTCTGTGTTAGACCTGTCTGTGTTATACTGTACTATTAAAATAACAATTACAAGGACCTCTTACCTGACTGATCAGATCCCCGTTGAGTGAAAGCCTTGGCTGCAGTTGCGATCAGATTAGCTCCTTCACTGGCATCTTTTTTCTTGCAAGAGAATGGGTTGCCACCAGTCAAAATACACTCTTAAAAGGAAGCAGCACCTGTTGAAGGAAGTAACTTAAAATAAGCATACCGTACCCTACCAGTAATACATGTATGATACAGCGATTGCTTCGTGTGACATTCAGTTTTCATTTAAGCCAGTCATCAAAGTCAAAGTACTAGAGGCTGCAATCTTAATAAACGCATGTTTGGTTACGATTCTAGAATCTAGCCCTCATACCACAATAAATTTATTTAGGCTAGACTTAGACCCAGGCATGGCGGGCTATGGCCACTATGCATGCCTTTTGTAGAGTATTGTAGTATAAGATGAAATCTAAAGTATAGATATCTAGTACTACTAGAATATCTTGTTAGTTAGCCTCTCAACAGCCCAGATCTACAGAAGATCTAGAGCTAGAGATGGAGTCTGGATCAGCTGAGTGTGTACGGAATTATGTGGTTGCGTCAAGGCAAAGGCGAGATTGATAAACAATTTGGAGTTTGGCTATTCATTTACAATATAAAATAAAGATGAAATAGCTTTGACTCAGATCCATTATAATTTAAGT